CATAGCTGGGATCTCCCTGCAGACTGCTAATTTATATGGCTACATCCACTGCAAATTAGGGGGACAAAAAACCATCAGCAGAGTAACTTCGAGGTTGTTTGCTACAGCAGATGTTCCCAAGAGTAAGTACTGAGCTGTCTGTCAGCTACAGCCTGTGAGGTAACACAGGCTAAAATGCCTCCCATGATTGGTTCTGGCTCTTCCCAGGTCTCAGTTCCTACAGTAACTCCTAGCAGGGCAGTCCTGATTCCCCCACAAGCCTCTCTTGCAGCAGTCACAGAGGGGCTGTATCCCACACCACTTGGTTCTGTGTTTGGAAGCACACTGAGCTTCACAGCTGAGCTGCTTCCAGGCCTCAGGAAGAATGTCTTGTTAAATCCTTGGAGTTACTAGAACTGTAATGTAATGCCTGTGTCAGGCACAGCTGGGAGAGCCATTTTCAACCCTCCATCTGCTCTTCCCTGCTTTTTATGAACAATCCCTATGTCCTTATGCTAACAGCCATATGTCCTCTGCTCACTCTGCAGGACAGAGCAGGAGAATTTCAGAAGATGGCACTGAAGAACATGGGAAGACAGGCACAGGATAATCAAACAAGGAAGAACTAAAAGGATGAGCAGTAAAAATACTAATTTCTGAAACATGTTCTTCCTATGAAGATATCTAAATAAATCTCTTCTAGAATTATGCCTGCATGAAATAAATCTGTGTTTGAGTCTTTAGGTCCTGAAAGGTTTAGAGCCTTTGTTACTTAAAAACTTCACCACAAAGTTTGTGTGGGCAGAAAGACAGTGCTTGTGGTGTACAGAGAGCACACTACTCTCAAGGAAAGTTACTGAAACATGTTCTTCCTATGAAGATATCTAAATAAATCTCTTCTAGAATTATGCCTGCATGAAATAAATCTGTGTTTGAGTCTTTAGGTCCTGAAAGGTTTAGAGCCTTTGTTACTTAAAAACTTCACCACAAAGTTTGTGTGGGCAGAAAGACAGTGCTTGTGGTGTACAGAGAGCACACTACTCTCAAGGAAAGTTATAACCTGAACGCTTCACCACAAAGTTTGTGTGAACAGAAAGACAGTGCTCGTGGTGTACACAGAGCACACTACTCTCAAGGAAAGTTATCAACTAACCTGAAACTGTTAGATTATTTTAGCCAAGGTTTGAATGTACTCAAAAGACAATGCTAATTTGTTTAGTTTTGGGACTACAATAAACAAAAGCAAACTGCCTCTCCCTTTTGTAAACAAAACTGATTTCTCAAATCTTTGATTCCTCAATAAACAGAGGAATTACAGTCCCAAAGGGCCTCAGTGAGAGAACAGGCATTAAGTTCATCCCAGCACAGAAGACAGGACAAAAGCTGCTGCCCATGCACAGGAGATATGTTAGATATGATGTCCCAGTGTCAGCTCAGCATATTTTATGTTCAGCTTCCTCAATAAAATCCTGTAAACACATGCCTTCAAATGCCAACTTCAGGCTCAGGTTATCAGTACCATGACACCAGACAGACTGTGCCTGTGTAACACAGATGCAGACTAAGTTTCACAGCTTAGTGAGGTCTGAGACCACCTGTGAACCACAAGATTGTTGAACTATGGAAAACAACTAAGGGAAGAACATTTATATTAAGAATTTATTTGTAATATACAAAAAGAATACATTCCTTCTATTAAATCAAGGCATAAGTTACGTTTCTATAATTAAACATGAACTATTTTTACTCCACTCACAGCTTAGATAATCTTTTCTTGGTGTTGTTCACAATATTCCTGAATTCCTGCAAAGATGGAGAAAAAGTAATATAAATACAATTTCAGCCGCACAGGAGGAGTTTTTGCTGCATCACTGTGCCCCTTGTTGGTACAAGTATCTCAAGTTGGGCCTGGACCAGTTACCAAACAACTCTGTTACTGCTTTAGAGGCCTGTCAGGAGTGATGCCCAGAAGCAACAGTATTTGCAGCTGTTACTTTTGTAATTGCTGTGCGCATCTCCTGCTCTCCTTATTTGTGGCAGAATAACATGACCTTGTCTAACACCTTCCTGTGCTGCAGGAACTGAGGGGATTCACCTGCAGAGTGATTCTCAGACTTACTTTGAATGATGTTCCTGTAAGACAATGTAGCTGGAGACTCAGGTGCTTCAGCCAGGAAAGACTGGCCTCTGTCACAACTCTTTCCTTCAAGGACAGGGAAAAACACAAAGCAAAGCAATGGGAAAAGATGAGCTTTTCTTTATTCCACTAGCAGTTACACCCTTCAAAAAAGCCAACTGCATCTCTTCCTTTTAGGAAGTCCTGATGTCAGTAACAGGACTAGAACTCCAGTTTACAGTTTTACAGAGGAATAGTATTAGCAAAAACCTTCAGTCATTATGTTGGAAATACTGATCTGTTCCTTGATGTCATTAATCCAGGTACTAATTGGTAACAGCTAGTGGGCAAGGAACCAAACTGCCTCACAATCCACAACACAATTTGGGCAGTACCAGTAACAGGGAGGTTAAAGCACTGGTTTTAATGCTTAACATCTACAGGATACTACTCTCTAAAGTGGTGATGATTTTACTCAATCAGCACTTCCAATTGATTACACCAAAGACATGTTGTGTTTCAAATATGGTTACAGGGCTGAAAAGATGCATTATCTAATCTTCATTGATTCAAGATTAATTCTTGGGCAAAGGAAATTACCCCAGCACCTCTCCCTCATCTCATACTATGCTGCAGCTCCAGAAACTTTTGATTCAAAAAAACATTCCCCCTAAAAGCAGGTATTTCCCTAAGAGACAGAGTGTTTAATATTCTAATCATCAATGCCCATGTCAGGGGTTTCCAGTAGTAATAGCAATGTAGGAGGAACTACTTGTTTTAAGTGCAGTGCAGTAAGTAACTTTACCTATTTGTGGATCTAGAGGCACTTTACCCAGGAGGGAAATATTCAAGTTCTGGCACATCTTCTCTGCACCACCAGTAGTTGGGGGAAAGATCTGAGATTCTTTCTGGGACGACAGGAAGATAAGAGTTAGAATATCGTAATTCTGGGAACAAGGCATTTTTGGAACAATGTTTTACACACAAGCAATGCCAAGGACAAAATGCTGTGATGCACTGCCTTACCTTACACTTTGGACACACAAAGCCACTCATGTTTTCCACAACACCTATGATGGGCAGCTTCACTTTGTGGCAGAAGTTTATCTCCTTCCGAACATCCTGAAGTGACACTTCCTATAAATATTAGCAAACATTGGCATTTCAGCTGTAGTTCAGTTGCCTCCTTAGAGCTACTCTAAATGAACTTTCTAGTGAATTATTACTGCTGTCTCAATATTTTGAGGCACACAAACATGTGCAACGTGCTCTAGCAACAATTCTATGAGCAGCAGCAAAGCAGGTACAAGAGCCCCACCCTACTGGATGTGGTTCTCTTTTGAAATCTCACTCTAGTAAAGATTCACCCATATTTCTCTTTCATCTCCTATGTTCCTCTCATATATTTAGTTCTTTAACTTTTGCATTCTGAGTTTACAGAAGGACCCTTGGTATTCTCCACAGAGTGAGGACAAGAACCACCAGGCTTACACTAGTTATCTCTTTCCAGATTAAATTTGAGATAGCTCATTATCTCCTCAGACTTTTCACATATATGCCTGACCTCATTCATCCTCCTCACCACATGTGGTGTTGCCCTCACCACTTCACTTCCCTTTACATATTATCCCTTCAGCTGCTGTGGACACACTACATGTCTTTTGCTAGTTTGACCTCCTGTTCCCTTTCAAACCAGGAATTAAACCTGGTTTGAACTGGATGTATTTTGAGTTTCAGCTCTCCAGGGGCCAATTTCTCTTGTAAAAATACACTCCACAAAGCTGCCTACTGCAGGTGCCAGGCTACTTCTCTGGTGTCAGCAGTGCACAGCTTTGCAGTTAAAAACTGAACTTGTGACATTCTTCTGAACATGAAGCCACTGGTGAGTAAATAACAGATTCTCAATGATGTGCACTCTAATCTCGAAGAAGGAAGTGAAATGCTGCATTTCCTCTCACCACACAGATCACAACAGCTTTCAATTGTGCCCTGCTCTCTGGTTTAGTGACCCACTTGGCTCCCCAGCACCACTGAGACACCACCTAACCCACAAACCAACCAGCTGCAGGCACAGACAGCAAAGCAGCTCCCTGAGGTCCTGCACCCTGACATTTCCCTGAACTGTTTCACCCAAGGATTGGCTGTAACTGCCACAATGCTCCTGCAGTGGGAACTGGGGGCTGTACCTGAGGGGTAGTGACTATGACAGCACCATCTACATGTGTGGCACTGAGGTACTGCACAATAGACAGGTGCTCATCTGATGTCCCTGGGGGTGTATCCACAATCAGGTAGTCGATTTCACCCCAGTCCACGTCACGAAGGAACTGTTTGATCAGCCCTAAAAGAAAGGATGAGAATGTGGAAGACAGGGAAAAAGTACCTCCCTGTATTTCAAATGTTAAGGTCTACCTCAGCGTCCGCAGTCCAGGTATGCAGACTGTTCTGACTTGCCAACTTCAGTAGGAACATACATACTTTGCCAAGATTTAAAAAAAATAAATCTAAAGGCATCATTTGACCTTCTAACTGAACGTGAATATGTTCAACCAAAGAAGCAGCAACCATTCACTCATTTTCTCCCTGTAGCTTACTATGCTGCATTTATGTTATTAATTAAACAAGCTTGTGATATTTATGTGCTTTAAATCTTTCAAGTACATAAATTATTGTTGAAAACACTCGATACACACCATTTTTTTTTGGTCCTCTCCAGATGACAGCATCATCAGGGCTACTGAGCAGGAACCCCACAGACATGACACCTAAGTTTTCTTCAACATACTAGAACAGAAGTAGAGAAACTCAACTGAGTACACAGTGCAGGAAGAGTAGAGATTCTGAACTCCTGTTTTATAGAAAAAGCAGCTGATGGGGGAAGACATTAAGAAAATAAAGGGAGAGAACCTTATCTTTAATCAAAGGGCATTAAAAACTACACTTTTTGTGCAAGATTCAAAGGCTGAAAAATGCAGTTGTTACAGCAGTTTATGGAACCACTGGAGACAGTGTAAGCAGCTTTCCCTGTCAGTACCAAGCTACACTACAGGTGATCTCTAGACAATCAAAACTCCTGCAAAACCTTCCCTGCATCTTCTAACGATTAATGAGGTTTTTCTTGGGTGAAAGATACTTCTTGGCTGTCATAGAAAAGGTGAGATACTACAGAGCTGTATGGTACCCAAAAAGAACAAAACCAAGCAACTCATTCATTGCCTAGAGCAGAAAAGTCAATAAACAAGAGATACTTGAGATAATAAAACTATTTTAGAAATCTAGTATTAATATTATTAACAAAATAAATTTAAGTCTGATCAATATAGCTTACAAAATCTAGTTATAGATACTCTATAGATTCTATATTCTGTATCTACAGATTCTACAGAGTCTGGATACTTAAGAAAAAGAATGAACAGAAGTCACCCTCGCTCCTCCTTCACTAGTTTGTCAAACAAGCCCAATAAACTTCCTGAAACAGCTGCACCAACTCACCACTGGAGACCATCCAGATCCACTCTGATGAACCTGGAAATTGAAGTGATACATAAAGTTACAACAGAAGTAAACAGAGATGTTACATGAAACATGAACTAAGTCAGACTGGTTAAATAGCTCTCCTGCCTGCAGGGACAATCCTGCTTTACTGGGGCAGTTGAGGTAAAACCTGCAGGAGCAACAGGTCTCCATTAATAAGTCAACAATAACTGTTCAACCCTTATGCAAGAACTTTATCCATGACTTTATACAAAATTTTTGAGGGCTGACAAAGCTCATCATGGTAATGTTACTCAAGCTTTAAGCTGAGTATGTGGCTGCTATACAAGGAAAGTTGGTTTGCAGAACTGCTTGTCTTGAAAACAGACAGCAATTTGAAAAGATAAATTATGCTTAACTTCTCCAGCTCATCTTACTTCCCTGTCCACTGCCACACACTTCCCAAGGAGCACTCCTTCCTTGGCAAGCCTTCAGCCTACAGAACCTGAACACAGGAATGAAAACAATGAACAGAAACACTTTAAATAACATGTTCAGCATTCCCTTACCTGTTCTCCTTCCAGCCCCATCATTTTAGGAATCGATGGCCCGCAGATATCTATGTCCAGCAGAGCAACCTGCAAAACAAACCATCCAATCCACCCCACTGTGAACCAGGCAGGGCAGAAAGAGAACTCACCCCCTGCAGACAC